CTTGCGATAGTCGCGAAGTTTTTTATGAAGCACCTTTAGTAGCTTGAGGTCAAAAAGTGTTTTTGGTGGGAGAAATTCCTTAATAGACTTTACCTTTTCAGGTGAAGTTTGCAGTCCCCCTTGTGGCACTATGAAGCCCAACTACTCGACGCTCTTTTTAAAAAACTTCGATTTCTCTTGGGATACTCTCATACCTTCTTCCAGGATGGCCTTATCACGCCGTCCGCTAAAAGTTGTTTTGACTCTGCATTGACGAATTTGGTTACACCCATGGGGTGTGGGTACGTTTTGGAGTACACCGGTTCCCCATCAGTTTTTATTGTGGCTATAGTGTTAATATTGAATGGAAGTGCTTCGTCTGGATCTTTATAATTTTTGGCAATCATTTTATCGAAGGTGGCTTTAACTGCCACGGGAACATCCTCATCATAAATTTTAATAAAGTTCACATTTTCTGACCTATTGAATCGGATCTTTTCGTCTCCGTTGTTTGTGTGAAGAAAATTCCCGGTATAATCAAGTTTCTCATTCGCTTGTTTAAGCAAGTCGAGGCCGATAATATCATCGAAGTGTTAAGGTTATTTATGATAAAAAATGGTGTTTTTATGTTAAACACCGAAACTAAACATTTTTTATTTATTTTGGTAAAGCCATGAATTGACTTTACAGTAAAGGGTTTCTCCGCTGCCACAATTTCTTTCAGTCCCGGGATTGGAGTCTATTTTTTGAGGTGACTGTGTGTAATGTAGGGGAGCAGGGATTTTATTCTAAAAATTACATGAGTTTTCTTCCTCAAGATCGTCTTCTACTTCAGTAGCACAGGTCTGCGCAACGGCGTCGTAATCTTCGTCGTCAGATTTCTCTTCTGGCAGAAGGTTCATTTTTTGTTGCCTTGCTGACTGCCCTTTTTGCCATGTTGTAGGCAGTCTAAATACCCTCCTGAAGGAGGGGTCGATCTCCATTGGCTCTGGTGCTGGTTGACCCTGATAAGTTCCTGTGCTTATGTGTGGTCTCTGTCCAAAGGAACCATTCTGGTTGTTGGCTCCTTTTTGAGTCCTAACAAGTGAGGAGTTTTCCTAATTGCTCCTGAATTTCTGGGAATTTTTTCAACCTTCTCGTCGATGGTTGTTCGGCTTGTATGCTTTCTCCTCATTGTGTCGGGCGAAAGTGGCGCAAAAACGCTTCTTTCGTTACTTGATTCAGCTTCTTGTGCTAATGCTAATGCTGCTGACCCAATGGATCCAAGTCATCGTTAATTCCTGGTTTGGAGTGGACTTTGGTCTTTAGATGGTGGTAGCTGGACCGGATAGACTGTTGTCTTCTTTAAAACAAGCCTAGGATTAGGAAATTTAATAAGAAAATGAATGATATCGGAATTTTGAAAAACACTTATACTATATGCTTCTAAAATTCCTATCAAACTAATGTTAATAGGCATCTTGTCTTTAAATTCGCCAATGTCGGAGCTATCTAGAATTGCCGGACTTACAATATTTAATTTTGCTAGGGACAAGCCGATTAGAATGTTTTCCAGATCTGTGATGCCGAATCTATTTTTAGCCAAAATTATTTCTAAAAGATTATTTTCTTTATTTGTCCCAAATTTGTATACCCGTTACTCGTAGAGAAAAGGGTATATTAGATTCGTTTAAAAGTATGTAACAGGTAGAATGAAGCGTTTCCGACCCTCTAGAGTATATATATTCTTGATCAGTATCAATAGCGAAGACGATTGAGCCTAGTCCGCCTATCCGTCCGTCAGTTCGTATGAACGCGGAGATCTTAGGATCTATACTAGATACAAAGTTGAGATTCAGCATGAAGATTCTTGAGGTACCTACGCAGCACAAGTTAATACAGCATCCTGCCACGCCCACTATAAAGCCCACAAACCGCGAAAAACTAAAATTGCTGAAATCTAAGGAGCTATTAGAGCTAGAAAGTTCAAATTTAGTTTATATAATCTTTAGATGGCAGCGCATCTTATAGCGGCAACACCCACCCATACGCCCACAAGGCTCAAAAGACAGTTTCCCATTTTCTAGAAAAGCTGATATTTCGGCCACTATAAGAGATAGAAAGTTCGGATTAAGCATCTAGGTTTTTATGATGCATGCACAAAATGCAAATTGTTTTTTTTTCATCTAACCATTCCCACCTTAACGCCGACCATACCCGGAAAACCAAAAATGGAAAAATCTCGGGGCCTATAAGAAATGCCTGCAACATGGCACCAGTTTTCAACCGGCCCCGCCCACTCTAACGCCCACAAACCGCGGAAAAAAGGCGTCTATAATATTATTATGAATGCCTTCGTTTGACCTTATAAAACTTATTTCTGTTAATATCTATCGATTTACCAAAGCTTTTTTAAATCAGAACATTATTTCGCTATTTATAAAGAAATTTAGGTTATAAGGCCTCACATGGGCAAGGACGTACTGATAGTGACTCAACATGCATTCTCTCACAATTTCCACTGGCAAAACGAATATTGTAAAATTATGTAAAACAGTATCGGGTAACTTACAGTCGCGGCACTTGACTATAGCGTTTTGTTTTGTTTAATTTGTTCTTTATTTGTCTCGAAAAATTTTTATTTTTCTTTATTTTTGGAATTTGGTATTTAATTCCGTTTGTTCTTCATTTGTTTTTTTTAGTTGGTCTTGTTTGAACTTCACTTGCTACCAATCATTAAAGTCGGGTGTACCTGCAACAACTTTTAAGGTTTGTCCTAATAAAGTTTATACTCCTAGCGGCCCTATGAGGGATTTTTGGGGTGTCTACCAACTTGCGAATGTGTCTGATGTCCGTCGCTATAACCGGTAGTCTGTGTTCTCCGCGTTCGTGTAGTCATCCAGTTTCACCGTCGCGTCCGTTTTTACAGCCATTAGTGCCCATATTATAATGTATTTTATATAATGTATTTAATATAGAAGAATATAAAAAATATGAAAAAGTATAAAAGAGGGTCGGGAGTATAGCCAAGGATGGTTAGCGTAGATTGTCTTTGTGGACCACAATCCCTCTAATTAAGACCGTTGTTTCCAGCGAACATAGCGGTGAGAGCTTGTTACCTAGTCTTTTATTTGCTTTGTAAGTTACTGAGTGGATTGATTTGTTGGTTGCTGAAAAGAATTATTCCTATAGTATCGTTCAATTTGCATCCAAGTTTCAGGCATCTGGCTATTTCGGCTAGAGTGCTATGAAACCTCTATACTTGACCATTTGTTGTGCTGTGTAGAGGTAGAGCGTTGGAAGTGTTGATAATGAAATGATTTAACAAAGTTGTTTGTTTATTATCGCAGTAGATTGTTGTTGTTTTCGGAAAGAAATTTATTATGTGTAATAAAGGGGTTTTTAAGTCTACTATTATCGACGCCTGTAAGGAAAAGGGCTCCATGGTTGAGAAAATATCAATGTGTAGAATTCTCCCACGAATGAGGGTATAAGAGTTTCTGCAACCATTTGCTTTGATGGGTGGTGGAACAGGTTTTTTAATTTGATGTTATTTCTGTTGCTAACCGAAACATTTTTGGGAATAAATAGTCCCTAAGAATTTGTTTTACATTTTCTTGTGCTGCTTGGTGAGCCCTTATTTGTTCTGTTATGACAATTTCTTTCTGTTCAGTTGAGTCCGTTTTGCCCTGTACGAAGTTTTTCGTCTGTTTGAAAGAAGTGCTAGGGAAGGACTCTATTAGTCGGTGCTATTGCGTGTGTATTGCGTTTACTACCTCCGCGTTTACAATCAGATTTTCCCGGTTGGGGTTCTGTTTATGTACCTCACCTTGCTCTTAAACAAGATGAATGTATCCACCGAGAAACTATTTTCGTCCTCGATTATTATTTGGTTTCGGAAGCAGCTTACTGGGTTGTCGGTTGTCTCGATGGTGTATGTCAGGGACTCTTCGCTATGAATGGTGGCTACGTCCGATTCTTGTACGTCTTCTAAGGTTTTAATTTTTTGGCGAGATAATGAGTGTGCCACGAAATTTTCCTTGTCTGGTTTTTAAATTTTTTTCTGAGTCAGCAAAGGTAAGTGGTTGATGATCGGTAAAGTTTTTAAGTGACAAGGAGCTCTCGCTCTTTGGTTGCGTAATTTTTCGTTGTCACGTAGGGCGCGTGATATCATTGCGATTGGGCGGCCATCTTGAGATAGTACTGCCCCTAGTCCGAAGCCTATATTTTCTCCCTTTAAGATGCTTGTTAGAGGTCTTGCGATAGTCGCGAAGTTTTTTATGAAGCACCTTTAGTAGCTTGAGGTCAAAAAGTGTTTTTGGTGGGAGAAATTCCTTAATAGACTTTACCTTTTCAGGTGAAGTTTGCAGTCCCCCTTGTGACACTATGAAGCCCAACTACTCGACGCTCTTTTTAAAGAACTTCGATTTCTCTTGGGATACTCTCATACCTTCTTCCTGGATGGCCTTATCACGCCGTCCGCTAAAAGTTGTTTTGCCTCTGCATTGAGGAATTTGGTTACACCCATGGGGTGTGGGTACGTTTTGGAGTACACCGGTTCCCCATCAGTTTTTATTGTGGCTATAGTGTTAATATTGAATGGAAGTGTTTCGTCTGGATCTTTATAATTTTTGGCAATCATTTTAACTGCCACGGGAACATCTTCATCATAAATTTTAATAAAGTTGACATTTTCTGACCTCTTGAATCGGATCTTTTCGTCTCCGTTGTTTGTCTGAAGAACATTCCCGGTATAATCAAGTTTCTCATTCGCTTGTTTAAGCAAGTCGAGGCCGATAATATCATCGAAGTGTTAAGGTTATTTATGATAAAAAAAGGGTGTTTTTATGTTAAACACCGAAACTAAACATTTTTTAATTATTTTGGTAAAGCCATGGATTGACTTTACAGTAAAGGGTTTCTGCGCTGCCACAATTTCTTTCAGTCCCGGGATTGGAGTAATCTATTTTTTGAGGTGACTGTGTGTAATGTAAAGGAGCAGGGATTTTATTCTAAAAATTACATGAGTCTTCTTCCTCAAGATCGTCTTCTACTTCAGTAGCACAGGTCTACGCAACGGCGTCGTAATCTTCGTCGTCAGATTTTTCTTCTGGCGTGAGGTTCATTTTTTGTTGCCTTGCTGACTGCCCTTTTTGCCATGTTGTGGTCAGTCTATATATCCTCCTGAAGGAGGGGTCGATCTCCATTGGCTCTGGTGCTGGTTATAAGATAAGTTCCTGTGCTTATGTGTGGTCTCTGTCCAAAGGAACCATTCTGGTTGTTGGCTCCTTTTTAAGTCCTAACAAGTGTCGGGCTAAAGTGGCGCAAAAACGCTTCTTTCGTTACCTGATTCAGCTTCTTGTGCTAATGCTAATGCTGGTGACCCAATGGTTCCAAGTCATCGTTAATTCCTGGTTTGGCGTGGACTTTGGTCCTTAGACGGTGTTAGCTGGACTGGATAGACTGTTGTCTTCTTTAAAACAAGCCTAGGGTTAGGAAATTTAATAAAAAAATAATGATATCGGAATTTTGAAAAACACTTATACTATATGCTTATAAAATTTCTATCAAACTAATGTTAATAGGCAGCTTGTCTTTAAATTCGCCAATGTCGGAGCTATCTAGAATTGCCGGACTTACAATATTTAATTTTGCTAGGGACAAGCTCATTAGAATGTTTTCCAGATCTGTGATGACGAATCTATTTTTAGCCAAAATTATTTCTAAAAGATTATTTTCTTTATTTGTCCCAAATTTTTATACCAGTTACTCGTAGAGAAAAGGGTATATTAGATTCGTTTAAAAGTATGTAACAGGTAGAATGAAGCGCTTCCGACCCTCTAAAGTATATAAGTTAACACGGTCACCCAGCAACGGAAAAGTTGCCAGGCTGATCCCGCACGGATGGGAATATGCAAGGCCAGCGTCACCTGCGGATATTGCACAGCGACGGTGCTATGGTCAGCATATTCAGCGGGCAATGCACTGTGACGGAAGCAGCCCACAATCGACGGGCAATGCACTGCAACGCAAGCAGCGGCTGCCCAACTCCACGCACGAGGCGCCGGGTCAGCAGTTTCAGAGCATAGGGCTAGCTTACATTTTAAGAATTTATGTACTTAGCAGTTAGTCGAATTTTGGAAATAAATCGTGACGGACATCGCCTCGCGAAACCAAAGTCTTCTCATTTTAATTTATATATTCTTGATTAGTATTAATAGCGAAGACGATTGAACCTAGTCTGCCTATCCGTCCGTCAGTTCGTATGAACGCTGAGATCTTAGGAACTATACTAGATACAAAGTTTAGATTAAGCATTGAAAAGGATGAATTAATAAAACAACCTTTTCCGTTGAGTTCTGTATTAAAACTGAATTTTATTTTCTAAGTCCCTGCTTAGGAAACTAACATGACATTCTTATTCTGGTCTTATCTGTGGCCTACGCAGAGGCCGCGTCTGCCTGCGCGAGAGAGTTATCATTTGACCCCCACACAGGAACCTTTGGAGCAGTGTGAGAAGCATCTCAAGTGATTATCTTCGGTTTGGGTCAAGTGGCCTGCACTTACAGATTACAAGTGCTAGCACCGCTCCCCTGTAGGGTCTACAATTACAGATCATAGTTTATGGCTCTGGATCGATTTACAACTGTCACATGACATGCACAGAGCTCATAGAGTATTATATTTTATTTTTATTAGTGTTCGTCTGAACATTCTGGCAAGGGCCGGCAAGATTAGGTGTCTGTGTTAATTACAATTTATTTTATTTATTCTCAAAAATATTGCAATACATTATTAGTGGACTGTATTAATTCGATATATTTTATTTTGCATAATAATTTTGACACCCCTTCACGGCTTGTAATTATTGTGTTTTAACATTATAGTGAATTTATTTATTTTTTTTTTTAACATAAAACATTTTTATATCATTGATTTATTGTATCTACAAGTTTATATATTAAGCATACCGCCGGGTAATGCTATGGCTTGTAACTGCCTTCGTATTTTTATTTTCCTTATAAAATACACAATTAATATAATTATTATTACAATCGCTAAAATTAGGGATGCATGTCCAGTTAAATGGTGAAAGTCTAATTCCCTCAATTCTAGCTTGTGAGTTTTTAAGTATTGAATTTCCTTTGACAAACGATTGATTTCGTCCGTATGATTGATTAATGGCATGTCGACCGGGTTCCAAATAATCTTGGGTATCTCGTTAACTTCCCCAATGTAAGACAACGCTAATGTTCCCTGATCTTCTAACTGAATACTGTGTTGAGCAACTAATATTTTATCATCAGTTCGAGCAGTACAATCTGACCTCAAAGTCATTATTCCTTGTTCAGGTAAATCTATTATCTCTATTTTTGAATTGGTACACTGAATTCTAGCCTTAGAATTGTTTTGAACTTTAAAAAGCCAACTACTTTTCTTTTCCAACTCAACCCAATATGACTTACTCTCAACAATCGATTTATACCTGCAGTTCGATGCCTTAATTGGTTTGAGAGGTTTAATCTCACAACTATTGTCGTTAGCACTACTCCAAGGCCAACTTCCCTCGCAAACTCTTTTATTCGACTGCCACCTTTGACATTTATTAATAGTAGATTCTGCCATAAGATGATATGCATCGATCTAAAAATTATAAATTAAGTACTGAGAATCTACGTGAACTGTAATCATGCGGTCGTCCAGTTTTACCGGAACTGGGATAATTTTATAAAGTACTGAAGCATGTCTACCAAACAATGGTATTTTGCCATTAATTATTAATTTTTTATCCACAAATAAACCTCTAGCCGTCAATAATGTATAAATCTCCTTTAATTCTGTGCCTGTTCTTTTCCCTCGCAAGACTAAATTTTCAGACAAACTGTCTTTTATTCTGGAAATTTCACTTTTTAGCTGACTAGGTCTTAATACGAGGTGTGTTCAAAAAGTAAGGTGACTTTTCAAATTTCGCGGGCAACATATTTTCGATTATCGATTTTTTTGTTTTGTTATATTGGTACACTCTTCCCTAACATCTGTACCAAGTTTCAATGGAACATCCTCTTTTGTTTGGTTGTGAGAGGCGTAAAGTTACAAGTTATTTTGCGAGCTCGGCGATTTTTTGCTATCGAAAAATATGGATCAAAGGATTTGCATCAAATTTTGTGTAAAAAATAAAATTAAGTGCTCTGAAACACTTGAAATGTTGACAGTGGCATACGGTGAAACTGTTCTGAGTAAAAAAAATGTGTACAAGTGGTACAAACTCTTCCAAGATGGCCGGGAAGATGCCAATGACCAGCCTCGCTCTGGACGCCCAAGCACGTCAACAACTGATGAAAACGTTCAAACAGTGACGAAAATTGTTTTGGAAAATCGTCGAATCACTATCAGAGAAGTTGCTGAAGATGTCGGTATATCGCTTGGCTCGTGCCATGAAATTTTTTCAAACGTTTTGGGTATGAGTCGTGTGTCAGCGAAGTTTGTTCCGAAATTGCTGAATTTTGACCAAAAGAACCGTCGCATGAGCATCGCTCAAGAGCTGTTGAATGACGTCAACGACGACCCAGATTTACTCAAAAGGGTCATAACTGGTGTCGAATCATGGGTATATGGTTATGATATCGAAACCAAAGCCCAATCGTCCCAATGGAAGAGCCCAGGCGAGCCAAGACCGAAAAAAGCACGCCAAGTTCGATCAAATGTCAAAGTTTTGATCACTGTTTTCTTCGATTACCATGGCGTGGTGCATCAGGAGTTCTTACCATATGGTCGTACGGTCAATAAACAGTATTATCTGGAAGTTATGCGCCGTTTGCGAGAAGCAATACGAAAGAAACGTCCAGAATTGTGGAAAAACAATTCATGGCTTTTGCATCACGATAATGCCCCTGCTCACTCATCTTTGCTTGTGAGAGATTTTTGGCCAAAAACAACACCACAATAATGCCTCAGCCACCATATTCACCGGATTTGGCCCCATGTGACTTTTTCTTGTTCCCAAAACTGAAGAGACCTATGAAAGGACGGAGATTTGCAACGATTGAAGAGATAAAGACTGCATCGCTGCAAGAGCTCAAGGCTATACCGAAAAGTGCTTATGGGAAGTGCTTTGAGGATTGGAAAAACCGTTGGCATAAGTGTATTGTATCTGAGGGGGATTACTTTGAAGGGGACAACATAAATATTGATAAATAAATTAATAGTTTTTCTTGAAAATACAAAGTCACCTTACTTTTTGAACACACCTCGTATGTTTGTATTAAGTCGGCCATGATTTATGTCTATTAAGAGGCTTATGATACTATATTGAATTTTCTCGCATTCATCTATAATGTTACTTAGCTGTTTGGTTATCATAAAAAAGTTGATAGACTCTTTGTACACATAATATGATTCTTGCAATACCGCCGTCATATTCTTAATTCTTTCGTTCATTCCTTTAAAATTTGAGTTAACTTCATCCGTCGTTTTTCTTTAAAATGTTAGTCGTCGAATCGACTAAGGAAGTTTGTTTCCTACTTAACTCGTTAAGGCTATGCTGATTGCTTAATAAGTTTTTATATTATCCTCCATTTGTATCCTGTCGTTTTCATCCATTATTCCAAATAGAATGTGATAAAGCGATCCCATAAAACCAAATGGAGCACGTTTACTTCTTGATTTTCCCTGAGCCATAAAACGTTTATTATTTTCTTCTATGTCTAAGATCTGTCTTTCCGTGTTACTCAGAACTAAAAGGCATTGATCCTCAAAACTATGAAGTCGTTCGCAAATTACCCTCATTTTTGGTATTAATTCTTTACCTTTTTTAAGCATTTCGAAGTAAACGTCCATATTATAAAATATTATTAAATTCCAAGAGGAGGCTACAATTTCAACATCCCCCATTGGGTCTAAATATATTGCCGAAGTCTTATTTATCTACTCTATTGCATACCTTGGCTGATCAACCCTAGCTGATGCATTAGCAAATTGGCAGAATATAAATAATAACATGGCCATTACAAAACCAAGTTTTGAAATCTTTGATGTACCTCTTGTTTGTCTTTTCGGTTTTGTCTCTTCGGGATCAGATTCCATTTTATCTACAGACTTTATTCCGTCTAAGGGACAAACTTTGCTTATCGGTCTAGTGATAAATCCATCTTGTAATTTTACTTCTACCACTCTAACCTTTTCGTCTTTACCTTTATGGACTTTTTCTACCTTTCCCATTGGCCACCTGGCTGGATGACTGTTCTCATCCTTCAACAAAACAATTTGTCCGTTCTCTATATTTGGACTTTCCCTCTTCCATTTGTTTCTCTGTTGTAAAGTATGCAAATACTCCTCTTTCCATTTAACCCAGAAGTCTCTTCTAATTTTTTGGATTAATTTCCACCTATCTAAATTACCAATTTTCTCGTTTTCAATTGGTTCAACAATCTCTAACGGTG